GCTAGGAACTAGGATAATATAAATAATAATAATTTGCAAATATCCAATGGAGGCCTGGAGAATAGATTTGCAAGAAGATAATCTTTTAAAGAGGCATTCTCACATAAAAAACTAGATTCAACTTTTTAAGAGTCTTATCAGAAAGAATTTTTGAAATAACCAGATCTGGATTGGCATTTTTTTTACTATGGACAATACAGCTGTAGGGAGGAAACATCAATATTTATGCAAAATTGTTATTAATAAGAGTATTATAATTTATTCTTATAATGTTAGGTCATTACAAGCTTGCCTGCACCTTTACTGAATTTAAGAGATACTCTATTTTATACCCACAATGCCTGGAGAATATAACATCATATGCTTATGGTTTTGATTGGTTATTTTATTAACTGAGATATGCAAGCTAATTACAGAAATTCCATGTTTCTGCTTTCTGTCATTCAGGGACAAGTCTCATGTCAAAGGAGAAAACACCCAAGTGTGTTTATACAGACTCTAAAATTAAGCTTTTATAACTTCTGTCTTGATTGAAGTTTCTATACTATTTTCTTTTATGCTACGTTTTGAAAATATATATAAGCATTAGTTATCATGCCTTGTATAAAATATTTAATAGAAGTCTTTAGTTGCAAGTTGTAAACATACTGCAAATGGCAGATCATAAATCCAAGGACCATTTTGGTCAAAAACCAAACAAATCTCAAGAAGGTTTTATCAAAGAACAGGACACATATTTTATATAAGATACCAGTTGGTATTGATATGATCTTACCTAAGTGGGTGGGGGACTTTGTAAGATATTTATACTCTAGAAAGAGTCCTGATGTTTGTTTAGGAGCAAAGAAGAATGTAGGGATGTGTTATCAGAGTTATAAAACTAAGTCATAAACGTAGGCTTCCCCCCCCCCATCCCCACCACCTTTCATAGAGACAAACCTCAGTTATACTCCTACAAATTCTTATTGAAAGTATTATACTCTATAAGTACTTCACGAAAAAATGGAGGGCTGAAGAATGTTTTATAGAAGATGCTGGTTACTTCTATCTAACTCATGTTTCCTGTTTATTCCTTAAATGTTTGAAGATGGCACTAGCTTCTCATAAGATAAATATTTGGAACTATATTATCAAAATGCAAAGTTGCTAATGTAAGAACTTCCTATTATCATTGCTCTGTAAATGATAAAATGCTTCGTGTACCAACATGGAATCCAATGACCTTGTTAGACTGGTTACTAATGTAAGAAGCCATTTGAGTATACAAATATTACTATTAATTGGGGGTTATTTATCTGGCAACGCTCAAGCAACTTCCTTATCCAACTCAGAAAGACATGAGCCACCTCTCCAAAGATTAAGAAGAGACATTACCTTCTCTAATTGCCATTTAAATTTAGACACTCTTTAAGAAATAAGTTTATTTTGAGAACTGAAAATCTATTTCTGTAAAAAGTAAAGGTATTTGGACTCATTTGAAACAGAATTTCAACTCTTATTATGCCATAATGAAATTAGAGGGATATCTCAGAAAATTCACTGAATAAAAGAAAAAGTTAAAACTCTAATTTTTAAAGATGTTCTGAGAATTTCTCCATGCAAAGCTGCAGGCAATATAATCATCAAATTGGACAAAATTTACAACTCTATGTATACGTAGAAGCCGATAACCTGAAACTGCTCACAAGACAAACCCACAAAGGTGCTAAGCCAACGAAAGGATGACAACAGCTAATTTGGAATTCAGCCAAGCCTGAAAGAAGTGTGTTTCTTCCTTCCATGGAGATATGGAAAGAGACAGTTATAAATTCCTCTGAATTGTCACTTCAGCAGAGTTTCTCCCCAGCTCCAAGATATGCACCGCCACACCCAATTTTTTTAAAGCAGGTTTATTTTCTGAGTAGAAGCATGTAAACAAACAGCTGGCTTGGGCCCGTGGGGCTCAGGTTCTGGCAGAAGAATTGCTGTCTAGACAGTCAGGCTTGGGCTGGAACCTGAGCTCTGGGACCCTGAGAGGGTTGAGTGTACCAGAGCTCGGGGCCAGCCTGAGCCCAACCATCTATATAGCAATTTTTAGCCCTGCAGACTGAGCCCGAGTCAGCTGACCAGCCATGGCCATGCCGCAGATCTTTTATCCCTCTGTAGATGTACCCTCAGAGGCATCTGGCAGCTTTCCAGTTCTTGCCAGGGCTATCCCTGCTCTGGGACAGCAGTCTCAGGGCTGTCTCCCAGAGCCCTTGGCCCCTTGCTCCAGGGGACCTTACACCAGATTTATCTCCACTCCACTGTGGCATTACCTCCCCAGGCATAGTCTGTCCCAATCAAGCACCGTCTTCCTGCCCACCAGCAGCCCTTTCTAGGCTCTCCACAGAGGGACTTACGGAAGAGATTGTATCTGAAATAACCGTTCTTTATTGTGTGTTTTGATTATTTTTGTAAACAATAAAATAGGCATAGTTAACAATAGTGATTAATTTTGCTTATTTTTAAGTGGTGTCCCCTAAGGCATGGCATAAAACCCCATATGACTAAAGTAGCAGGGTCGCTTCCCAGGTGTGGCAGATCTAGCTTCCTTTCTATCTAGATGTAATATAACAGTGTGGCACCCACCCCTCGCAAGCACCCTTTCTGGCTGGCTGTGTCTGCAGTCTTTAAATAGTTCCAGCCCTGGTACCTCACCCCCACGACTTCCTCCCTGGAGGCAATGGTTTCACCCTCTAGGTCTATTCTGGTCACAGCTCTTTAGCTGGGCCACTAAGTAGTTCAGTTCCCCTTCTGGGGGTTTATCACTGCCTGATTGTAGGTCAGCTCCACAGTGGCCTACGGGATGTGTTGGGGGGAACCCCAGGCCCACCCACTACTCCGGGTCCCAGCCCAGGGACCCTAAGAATAGCAGCCAGGTGCCACCATGTCCCCTTAACTACACTGCTTTCAATTCCCTGGGCCACTTCTCCATAATCCCAGCCTTTGCCAAAGCTTTACCCTTACCTCAAGACTCATCTAAGTTCAGGCTCAGCAGCCAGCCAGGAGCTCTTTCTCGCTCTCTGAGCCCTGCCAGCACTGAGCTGTCCATGGTGCTGCAATTCAGGAGCTGCGCTGTACTCCTCTCGCTCCAGCAAGGAACTGACCTCCTTGTAGCTCCTTTTATGTGGTCCTCCTGGGCCCTGATTGGCTGCTCCCTGCAACTTCTCTGACTAGCTTCTTCCCCTGCAACCATGCTAGGCCTCATTGGAGGACTCCTCCTCTACTGCGCTTTTCCTGTGAGGGGTGTAGCAGGACACTGAGGCCTCCAGCCAAGGGCCTCTGGGCCTAGACAACTCTGTGACACTGAATTAGAAGCTTCTGCAGCCTTCCATCTATAAGACAGAATGTTTCTTGTTGGCCTTTTGGCTATGATCTGTTCAATAACTAGTGTCTTCTCTCTAGGGAACTACATTCTGCCTCTTCAGAAGGATGAACCTGATGATCTTATAGTCCTTTTCCAATTCTCTCATCTAAGATTTCTATGATTAATCTAGATATTACACTTACAGAAGCATTTTTCCAGAGCCAGAATCCATAGAGATGCTCCGCATGTCTCACTTTGGCCTAACTCCCCAAGGATTTTCTCTTTCACTCTGAGTGATAATACTCCTGGTACTCATGTTCCTAATATTTCATATTTCAAAATCCAGGTACTTTTCCTTCTTGCATGGATTCTACCCATTTGTCTATCCAGCTAATCTGACTTGTTCTCCTTCATTTGCATTTTACTGTATACGTATTTTTGAGAGAATGTTCTTTGGAGGACTGTTTGTTTAGTCAGCTGTGGGTACAAAAAAAAACAAAACAAAAACAAAACAAAAAAAAAACCCCACAACAACCCAGGAAGGTTATCTGGGATATTGAGACTGGTAGAAGAAGATATTTGACTCCAATTCAAGCATCACTATGATTCCAGATGGTTGTTCAAACAATAGCATTCAAATACAGTTTTATTAATCACCTTGCATGCGTCTATTTCAGACAGATAGCTAAATAAAGTGGGCTTGCAAGGAATAGGCTATTGCTTCCAAGAGTATTCACAGGGCACAATTCCAAATACATCAACATCCTGTTTTGTTTTGTCTTGATTTTGAGCAAAGAATAAGGCTTTGTCAGACCATTAAAGACCTGGGAGATAAACAGGCCTTGGTTTGCTTTTGACTTCTGCATATAGGTCTTTAATATTTTGTTTTATTGTGGGTATACCACAAGGAGTACATTTTTCACAGGTTCTACCTGTGTGTCTTTAATGGATTTGAGAGAGAGAGAGAAAACTGGATTTCAGCTTTTTCAGATGCCTAAGGATTTACCCTCAGAGAACTCTTGATCTCAGGAAACCTAGCAAGTTGCACGTATTAATTTCTTTCATAAACCTCAACTGCCTCTGCTTCTTCTGTAGTAGGTTAGTTTTGAAATATCCCTTTCCAAAGCTGGGATACACATTTCCAGTATTGGGTTTTATTAAGTTCCTTTGGTAACTATCGCCAAGGCTGCTTTCTCATATCTTTCTTTGCAAGAGACTTTAAGAATGGCAGAGGCTTTGCAGATAAGGTTTGGATTGCAACCTTTCCACTAGCAATGTAATAGGAGCAACAGGGAATTAAATAAAATTATATTTTTCTAGATGTCTGCTTAAAAGGAAATTCAGGATTTTATGGATGCCCCTGAGACAAACTATTACAATCCATTCCTCACAGTTCTTATTTGAGTATTGTCTGTATGAGCACCGCAAATAGTACAGAATCATTCATAAAGAATAGGCAAGAGAGACTGTGTCCCATCAATATTTCAGGCTTAGTTATCAAATCAAGAGAAATTCATGAGTTCTTCTTCCAGCCCTACGTTTGCCGGTTTGATATTATTGTTTGACAGTTAAGGCCTTTTCTCTGCATTCTTGTGAATGCTTTAATAATTTATTACATCTTCCACTTGATGGTTATTTTAATATTTATTAATTTTTACTTTGATACACTAACCATTTCTTCTTTACTCTTTCAGTAGGAAGAAATTCACACTTATTTTTCTATTTGTGGGGTGTTGACATAGCTGAAGAAACAGTAATGATGACTGATAGAAGGCACCATATGTTCTGTTCATTTTTCTCTGTGCTGTTTTCTGAGAAATGAATAAAGATACACTATAAAATGAACCTCCACGTCATTCATAGAAAAACAGACTTTGGCTTCATGCAAACCACAAGAGGGGAACCCATAATTTACAGAAGCACTCAGCACAACAGATATTATTATTATGGAAAAGGTTAGCCTCCAAAGCCCGAGAAAAAATAACTTCTACACGTTTCCAATTGAAATGTTTTAAGGATTTCAAAGCACCTTCACAATTAATTTCCTGCAAATATTTATTATTTTTTTTAAATAACTAGAAGGAACTTTTATTTCTCCACAACAAAAAACGTAAAGTTTAAAAATATATATATATTTTATTTGATTTATAGATGAACCAGTTAATAATTGCTACTAGTTTCAATGAAAACAGGATTAAAAATAGGATTCTAGCTGACAATTTGTGATATGAAACAGCCAAGAATCCTCAACCCATTATCACACATTATGGTATGTATACTAATATTATTTTATACTACTGTATTTATATATACAGAGTGAGCAAGAGCACACATTATAATGTATAATCAAATTCTGAAGCATACTAAAGATCACTGAAAAAGTAAACACTCAATAAATATTGCAATCATTTCAAAATGTTTCTTCCTCACACTAACAAAGACTGTGCTCATTTTATAGAAAGAGCTGGATAAAACTTTTTGTTGTTGTTGTTATAGCTGCCTATCAACCATTTTTTCCCTTGCTAAGTAAAACAGTCTAACCAGTTTTGATTATTTTTGCTATTTCTTTTGTTCTGTCATCTCAGAAAAAATGTTTTGTGTTCTTGTGCTGCTTCCACTAGCTTTGCAGTAGCAATTAACCAAAAACACTGGTCCCAGAGCCAGGCACATGTCTGCTAACAGCATTAAGCATTCAGGTGAAGAAACAGGGAAGAAAACTAAGGGGGTCCATGTTGCCTTGTGTTTCATTACAGACATGGGGGAAAATAATTTTTTCCAACTGGAATAATAAGCCCCACAAAATCAGTGGTGAAAGATATTTTATTTTCAACCTTCTAAGAACATATTGCAAACAATGGAGATTAAACTGAATTCCTCACTAAGAAAAAGTAGTTGACAGCCCTTGTAAATGTAACCAACAATAGGGCACAGAGTTGATGTCAATCAGTAGCTAGCAGTAGGATTGTTTTTTAGCCTTTGTTCTCACTGAAATCTTCTATTTAAAAGGTTTTCAGATTAAATACAAGTAAATGACCCAAGGCCAAAACCTGCTTATCTTACTCACAGGGGTACTCCTTGATTTCAATGGGACAGCTTGCATGAATGAAGTAAACAGGATTTAATCTTCCAGAATATCATACTCTCTAAGGTCATCCACAATAGTAACAGACATCAAAGAATGCTTTATATGTTGTATATAATCCATACGCTTTCTCCAGTTAGATTTATTTATTCCTGCTAAGGGGGATATGATAGAGGTATATAAAATCATGAGTGATGTAGAGAAAGTAAATAAGGAAAAGTTATTTACTTGTTCCCATAATACAAGAACTAGGGGCCAGCAAATGAAATTAATGGGCATCAGGTTTAAAACAAATAAAAGGAAGTTCTTCTTCACACAGCACACAGTCAACTTGTGGAACTCCTTGCCTGAGGAGGTTGTGAAGGCTAGGACTATAACAGCATTTAAAAGAGAAATGGATACATTTATGGAGGTTAAGTCCGTTAATGGATATTAGCCAGGATGGGTAAGGAAGGGTGTCCCTAGTCTCTGTTTGTCAGAGGGTGGAGATGGATGGCAGGAGAGAGATCACTTGATCATTGCCTGTTGCGTTCACTCCCTCTGGGGCACCTGGCATTGGCCACTGTTGGTAGACAGAATACTGGGCTAGATGGACCTTTGGTCTGACCCAGTATGGCCATTCTTATGTTCTTATGTTATGTTGCTGTTAAAATCTGTGCCTCCTGCTGCACAAGGAATGTGGTGGGATAGCGGAGGTAAAACACTAAATTGATAGATTTCTCAGATCTCACGAGAAATGTATTTGTTGTTGGTTTTCTTAACACCATATAAACTCTGCCGCACTAGAAAACTTGAATATATGTGCTTTATTTATCTAATGTAATTGGTCTACATGACATCTGATCCTACAATCCTTAATCAGCCAAATCTCCCATTTTGTGTTGAGAGCATTGCCTGAAAAAGATGGCAGAATTGGAACCTTACTCAATATTTTAATAAATAACACCTGTTTAATGCAAATAATTGATTGCCAGGAAACAGATCTGGTGCAATGTATTTCAGTAATTCTAACCAATGGATAAATAGCATACCTAGTTCTTTTATTAGACATACCTGGAACTAATTAGAAGTTTATTCCTAGCTAACAGGTGTGAATTGGTCTTGGTATACATTTTTCATTGTGTAGCACTTTAATAAAGATGCTACATGAGACAGAGAGTTCAATGTAGCTTTTAGAAAATGTTTATTTTGTAACGTGCTTATTTCTTAAAGCAATTCAGGAAAGATCATCTACAATATCCCACTATAATGTATTCCTTTGAGCATCTGATACTCAAGAAGAGCAGTTCGTTGGCATTTTTGTTTCCTCTGGGATTAATGTGTAAATTAAGAAAGATACAATACATTTATATAAGTGGCATTAACGGAACTCTCTACAGTCCTTATTTTCCAGATGTTTCTTTAACAAACCTTCTTTTCCTTTGCTCATTTATCATGCCTGAAGGGCCTATTTGCAAAAGTTCCAATGGTCACAATCATGTCCTCTTGGGATATTGCCACTCTCTCCACATCTCTGGAGCTCTACATGCCACTCTGCTGCAAGGCCAACCTGATATAAAGGTTTGCCCTTGGTTTCCTCCATTCTACATGCTGAGGAGAGGGCCAGGAGAGCAGAATGCCATCTAGCTGATGCAGTGCTCTGGGGGTATTATTTAGTCTGACTGTTCCTGATTATGATTTCATCCAGGCGGCCACACTTTATTAGGCCAAGCAACTGGAACATATGCCACAGAGCATTCCTGTGTAGTATTTCCGCATGGAATTTCTGATTGTTTATTCTGCAGTGCAATTGTGCAGGAAAAAGCTGTCATTTTCTAGGCTTGGAAAAGTAGCGTCTGCCAGTAGAGAGTGCAAGAGCGACCTTCTATGAATTATACACCTAACATTCTAGCTTCCAGACAAAGCTCCTTGGTGCACATGCACAGGTCATAACACATCTAGTTCTGTTGTACAGTTCAAGATCTACATCATTTCAGTTTCCTTCCAGTTACTTCTAGCACTTACCCCCTTTGGATTATTACTCACAATCAGAACCTTTTGGAGGGCAAACTTGGGCCATGCTTCTTCTTTACAGCCCAAGATTTAATTTCTGAAATAAAGTACAAACATATACGTTTATTTCTGGAATAAAGTACAAATATATATATAAAAAAGATTCTCCCCCCACCCCAAAAAGGAATTTTTCTCTCCTGAAGACCTAAGGAATCTTGCAGCTGGTTGGGATTTCCTTTTTCTGCAACTTTTCCTTTAGGATTTGAAATGTCTTAGTCAAATATTCAAAATGATCAGGGTTATTATGCAGTTTAGTGGCAAACAATATGTGTAGATATATTTTTAAACAAACTCCCCTGTTTTGATCAAAATTAATTTCCCCTGCAGACAATGCATAATTCAGCAGCTTTGTGGTGTGTGTGTGGGGGGGGGGAGGATGCATGTAAAACTTTAAAGGGAAATACCACCCGTGGAAATGTGAAGGCACTGAAATGTCTCCACATGTACTTTCATCCTTCGGAAATTGAGAGTGATTAGATACTTAGAAAAAAATAAATAACCGTGCCTCCACATTAATTTCCCTGCCTGAAACAAACCAGCACCTGCTTCCCCTTACCCCAGGGAGCTCTGACTTTACTTCATTAGATTTGCATTAATAAGCGCGAGCAAGCCCCCTTGCTCAGACAAATCGCAGAGCACCGAGCCCAGTGGAGCCGCCGTGACATCCTCTCCCCCCACCGCCCCCGCCTCTGGCCAAGAGGCAAGTGACAAAGAAGGGGTCTGTTTCCCAGCTCCCGGGGCTGGGGACGCCGGCTCCGAGCGGTGGCAGAGCAGGGCAAGGGGCTGGCAGGCTGCCTCCCGTGTTGCCATGGCGGAGGAGGAGGCGGAGGAGAGGCGAGGGGAAGGGGAACCGGCTCTCAGCTCAGCCCTTCAGAGCCCGCGCTGCCCAGCCTTGCCGGGAGGCAGGAGCATCACTTCCCTGGGAGCCTCCCCGGCCAGTGCAGGGAGCCCGGCGCGGCGGCAGGAGGCGGCGGGGAGCGGGGGAAGGCTGCCGCCTGCGAGCTCCGGGCTGATTGTCCCACTTTTCTCCTCCCAGCCTAGCTCCCTGCGTCCTGCCGGCGGGGAGGCGCCGAAGTGCCCGGAGGGAGCCCAGCGTGCCGGCGCGGAGCCCCCCGGCGGGAGGATGCGCTGAGCCGCCCCAGAGGAGGGGGCGCTGCTCCCGCTCGGCCAGGTCAGTGCGCGCAGGTCCGCCCCCAGCGCGGCCCCGGGGAGGGGTCACGGGCGGGCGGGCGCGGAGCAGCCTCCGGGGTCCCGGCGCGCCAGCCGCTCGGGGGCGGGGGCCGCCCTGCCACGCCCCGACTTCGGGAAAGTCCCGCTCGCGAGCGGCGCGGGGAAACTTTCCCGGGACTTCGGGGCAGCGCGGCTGGGGCGGCTCCGGCGGAGCCCGCGGCGGACAGGACGCCCACGGGCGCGGCCCCGGCCCCTGGGGCTGGCCTGGGCCCCGAGGGACTCGCTGCGGGCGGGGCGGGGCGGGGGCAATTGGGAAATAATCAAACAAACAAACTTGGGACCGGCTCGGGGCAGCCGTTTTAAGCCCCCCCCTCTCCCTAGTGGGGAGAGCGGCTTTGAAAAGCAGGGAACTCGGGCTGGCACCTGCTTCCTAAACTACCAGGCTGTTTTTTTAAAAAAAACATCTTGTCTGCTGCGGGGTCTAGGCGCCAACTCCTGCTCTGTGTGCTCAGGACCCCATCCTGAAGTTACTGGGAGTTTTGATTGAGTAACTGCAAACGTTGGCCTCAAATTTCCCCCTTCCCCGACCCCCCACTCCAGTGGCAATGGTTCATTGATTAGTCCATCGGGTGACCCAGCGGTTTGGCACTGTTTGATTTCTGTTCTCACTGCAGTTGTATTTTAGCAATGCAGCTTCTTGCATATGTGCATGAACTTCCCCCCCCCCCCCGGGAGAACAGTGTAAGGATTTTTAGCAGGCAAATGTAGTTCACATTGCTCTGCCGCTGAGAGACTTGTGGGCTTGAGTATCCCTAAATCCTCATTGACATGACAGACCATAACAACTCTGAATGAGCTGCTACAGTCTAGCCGGTCAAAAAATTACCCTGGGACAATTCCTGAATACACACTGATGGGATAATCCACAATTCCACTAATTCCTCTGTCTTTGCAGGATAGTGTGCATTTCAAAAGATGCTCATAAGTCCTTATACTATACACTTTAAGGGGTTAATACATGCTTTAAATTAAGTTTCAAATAAATGAACGGCTCTTTCACAAGATATATTTTTCTTCTTTGAACATATTTTGATACAAAATCCCTTGATTATACGTTGGTAAAAAATAATCACAATAGGTTGCAATTCTATTCCTACTTCTAACCCACCCTCTGTGTTCAGGGCTCAAACTATAAACGCATACTAAAGGGAGCTAACTCACTGTCTAATTTTCTCATTTTGTAGGTAAAATTACATTCATTTAATCTAGAAGAAAATAATTTCTGATCATAATCTATATTAGTCTTGATTTTATGTCTAACTCAGATTAGACCACTCAGACTGTACAGTACTGTACCATGCCACTTGAGCCATTTAAAACTTGGCTAAACAAAGCAGTGGAAAATGCAGTATAGTGGACAATGTTGCATTGGCAGGTGAAGGAGCTAAATGTCTATCAGCCATTTTCCATCTCTAATGTCTAGGATTCTTTGATATCTGTAGTGACATAACTAGGTGTAAAAAAGCAAGGTTGTAGCCTCAAGTCCAATTTTTTGGCTTCTGAGGGTTTAGGAAGCCCCATGAAGTCAGTTTAATGTAGCTTTCTTCCTGTAACTAGTTATCTTCAGATGGAAATGTGTACAGTTTAACCTTAATCTGTTTATAAAAAGAGATGCACGTTATTTCTGTCAGAAGGGTACCATGATGTATTTTGTTTCAAGATTTAAACGTTACAGTTTTAAAGAACTCCGGCTACATTGCCAGTTAGGAAGTTGAATAGTAAACACTAATGGTCTCATATAAGGAATTCTCACAAATTAGAAATGTAGTCTAATTTGTTTATTAATTATTCTCATTATTGGATAAATACAGCCATCCCTTGTTTATCCTGAAAAGATTTCATTTTGTCAGATGACTGGCATCTCATAAATTCCTTTCATGTTCATGGGATTTGCTTTTTTCCAGGAGTAGGTCACAGAAGCTCTCAGTGTTGGGGATAACAGTTAAGCTCCTCTTTGGAATTCATGAGCTTCCAAATTAAACTTTTTGCTGACACCTGCTACCTAGCCCAGTTGAACACAAAGACAGCAGTCACCAGGGTTATTGGAGTTCTGCTACTGAGCAAAGTAAATATAAAAAAAATAGATATTCACTACTCAGGCTAGATTACACCACCATATGGAGCAGCACTGTGAAAATGTAGCTTCTGGAGACCTAATCCAAGTTTACTTCTAATGAAGCAAACTTTCAACAGCAATTACATGTAACAATCCAACCCATAGTGTAGACTGCTACAGAGATTGGTAATCAATAATAACTCAGTATACCTGGCAGAATCAAATGTAGAAAAAAATAAGTGAAAGTGAACTGGACCCCTCCCACCCACTCTTGAAACATCCTTGTTTATAAGGTGTGAAGGATATTCTCTGAGCACTAGTTTCAAGCACCAAAAGAATTTAGAAAGTGTCATAACAGAAGGTCAAGACTTAATTATTTGTATGGTGACATCAATAAGCATGTGTTGATGATTTATTTATATATCACCAGAGCTGTAAAATAAAACAGTGAGTTCTGATTTTCTTTTGCTACTTACTGAAATGGGCCATGAAAGGTGCAAGTCGCAACTGATTCACAGATTCCAGAGATCAAAGTTTTATATGGGCTACATATGATTGAGGATTTTGATTTTGTAACCAAAATGTCTGTTGGGAAATGTCATGCATATTTGCTGCATTTGTAATTATTTACAGATTATGGAATATCAGGAGAATTTGGCTTTTTAACATTTATTCAAATCTTTATGTTTATGTAAGCTAAGAACTACTTTTTGTGTTACACTATTTGAAAAGTGTGTCTATTGGGCGTGTTTGAGTATCTTCCAAAATCACGTTTAAAAAACTAAAATTGAATTTTCCTGCTTGAAAAATGTCTATGTACTCAATGCACTGCTCCTGGCTCACAAATAATGCCAAAAATCAATTGGCTAATATGCTTTTTATGTTTCTGCTGATCAGAGAGGATGGGACTGTAAAAGCTTTTATTGCTATCTGGTGATTAGTACATAGTAGTGGTAAGTAAATAGCTTGTAATAAGATGGCTTCAATACTTCAGAGTTTAATGCATTGTATATAGTAAGGGGCAGAGGTTGCCTTACAATGGCATCAGGACCCACTCCTACTCCCACAGACGTCCAAAGGAATTTTACCAGTTACTTCAGTGGGAGCAGGATTGGGTTAGATGACTGGAAGGAAAGTAGTACTGAAGATCCACTTTAGATAATCCTGAATAGTCTCTTTCTGGTTTATGATGATGGGTTAAATTACAGCAAGAAACTTGGAGTTGCCCACCCTCCTGTCAGTAGAAATGCTCCTGATCTTGTCTGTTTAGTTGATTACTTCAAACAGAACATGAGGAATTTAAATGAGGAAGAGTCTGAAATTAGCAAGAAAACAGAACACCATAGGAGCAGAGAGGTGAGAAGGAAAGTTAAAGTAAAAATGGGTAGAGAGGGAGATGCTCAAACTATGTTAAATTTAACTCCCCTCCTAATATCATGAGATCCTCTACATCATTAAAATAATTGGATTTACCCTGTAAGGGTACTGTGCTAAGGGGCAAGAGTGTTAAGGCCAAATTCTAGGCCCAGTAACATCAATAGCTGAATTCCACTTTGGCAGGTGCTGCCAATAAACTCTATTATACTCCATTACAATATTCTTACTGATCTTAAAAATAAGACCATTTATCATCATTGTTTTTTTGGTGACAGAAATACTGAAATAATGGTTTACTAGATTTGTTGGAGGCTGTGAATTACACAGGGTGGATGAACAATATGGATAAGAATATGGATGAACGAGACATATCATCA